GATAATGTTGAATGTCCCACCTGGAAAAAGTATCGCATGTTAAGAAAACTATTTTTCATAGCATACCAACTGAATATTGCAGAAATGAATTATGGCACTAAACATTAAATAACCTTTTTCGTCTTTTTTCATCAGCCTCGGGTCGTGAATGTCTTTTCCCAAACGTTTCATCATCCATGTTCTTAATAATAGAAAACAAAAATATGAAACCGATAATTATTCTTACAGTATACATGCAGTATAATAATAATACAGTACCTACTGAATACTGTATTATTATACATTCAAACTTTATTCTCATTTCTGATTGGTCACCAATTCTGGCTAATTATCAATATCCGGTAACTGTCGCGTTATTCAACTGCTGACGTAATTAACGTGCATTAAATGTTTTGGACCGAACTTACGTCAAAATATGGCACGCTGCACAGCGCTACCCCTCGCCATAGTCAATAAAATAAGGTTAGGAAACTCGATGAAGACATCCTCATTATCTATGTTTTGTCTTGGTTTATGCAAAAAACAGTTGGTTCATCGTCACGTGTGTACCGTATTTTCACTAGAGCAACCAATAGTTATATACTCATTTAACCATTGTGTAATATCACGAGGTAATATCATTGGTTGGGCGAAAAAACAATACACAGGCGACGATGAAGTTATAACAGGGTAAGAATGTAACATAGTGGTAAAGATGAGTAGAACACATTGTCAGGACACTATACGAGCATACCTCACAAGTAGTGTCTATATCTTCAGTCGATGAAACACTCGATCTTGTTGTTGTTCCACATGTTTGAAGAGGAGTTGAGTAGTTTTCAACTATCCTGAATTGAGGAACTACAAGTAACCATGAAGCAACAGAAAAGCTGCAGTTAGTATATATGTGTCATAGTACTTTCAATCTGAACTGTTTTATCAATTATAATAGAGCCATTTACTTTCGAGTTAAGTTCATTCATTTACAAGATGCGTAAAAGTGATTTTGGAAATGGGCGTCATGCACTGGTCTTGTGCAGAACAAAACTTTCACCCACAACTTAGTTTCAAGACGGCTGCAGTACCAAGAAAATTGTATTAATTAAAACATACTTGGTACATCAGCAGAACAAACAGGCTGATCAGTGTTCTCCTGAATAATTTGCTCAGGTATTTCTGCCACCATACTGTTTTCATTATCCATATACAAAGTTTCAGTTCTTAAACATGTATCAATATTGACGAATCTCTCTATTGCTGAAGACATTAAGACTGCCGCAGCAGCTGGGATACTCTTCCTGCGCATCAGCTCACTAATTGATGGTTTTCTGTTCATTCTAAAATGCAATAGAAGGAACATAAATGTTGACTAAATACTAAAGTAACATGCTGTATATTATTAATACTATAAATTAAGTAACAAGTATAAATAACAATGTACATCCTCTAAATTTTGGCTAACAGAATGTTGAAGGGTTTGTGTAGATGAAATTTCTTCAAATTTCTTAGACCTGACCAGGAAAGTTGCAAAAAATGAGAATATACTGTAGGCCCTCAAGCAGGAACTGCAACCCTGTGATTCAGGTGCAGCACTCTCGACAATGAATTACAGAGCCTATGTGGCTGAATTATATAATACGTATGTGAACTCTTAGCAACGGGCCTCTTCAACAGAAATAACATGGTTATTAACATATTGAGCAACACCACTCTCCCCTTGACAAGTCATATGATGTTAGACGAAGTAAAATAATCTACCATTAGACAGTGTAGAATAATGAAGTATACTTAGTGTGCATTAGGGCACAATACACGACCTGATGGTTTAACTACATACATGTACATGGACAGATAGTTTTATTAACCCATTGAGCCACAGCACTCTCTCCCTGACGAATAAAATCATCTGGCTTTACACGGAGTAAATAATAACATAGGGTGCATTAAAGCACAATGCAGCTTAACGGTTCGTACCTCTTCTGCAACATTTTGCTATCCCTAGGAGATGTTGGTAAAATGTCAAATTCATCTTCATCATAGTGAGTGTTATGTGTCTTTATGGACATCCTTCGCTCCATACGCTTAATTCTTCCTTCCAGCTTAAACAAAAATTTACTTGATATTACAGTAAATATAGTGTACAAAACATTAATTGAAAAATGGGTACAGTACTTTTCATATTTTGTTGAACTGTGAAAATGACTTCTTTTCATATAATTTGAGGTTTGGTAAAGCAGGGTTCGAGATTGGAATTTTTTACTAGTATCCATTATGGATACCAGCATTTCAAACTTGGTATCCAAATTCAAAAACCGGTATCCAATGAATATACGAATCAGAATCATTATATTGAATGTTCAAAACTTCGAAACACATACACAAAAAAGCAATTAAGTATTCTTTACTTTTAGTTCACTACAGGGTACAGAGAACATTGATAAAGTAAGTTACAAAGTATAATAGATATTGGATATGCATTTTTTTATTATTATAAATTTCCGCTGTTCTTCACCAGACTATTCTGCTGTAATGACTAAAATATCTAAATGTGAAATACTTCTAAGTGCGATTGTAAATTTATTGTCACTTTAAATTTGGTATTCGAACAATCATGTGCTTCAAGATCAAAACAGAGAAGAATGCGGAAGTGGAAATGTAGCCTGATAATGAAAACACCCGCCAATTTCAGGTGAATTTGCGGGTGTTTGTTTTTAGCTACTGGAAGTGAAATTTGAAGCAGGTAAAATATATATTTTAGCGTTCGCTACTCGAAGTATACGAGCGTTTCAAAACTTATCTGTAAAATTATGTATATATTTGTGATTCCCCTTGATAAAGTTTATAAGTAATGTTCAAAAATTGATGCAGAATTTTTTATGCAAGAATTTCCTGGTATCCAGTTAGGATACCATTACCAAGGTTTTGACATCTGGTATCCAAAAATGAAAACTGGTAGCGTCAAGGATACTACGATACCGCCAATCTCGAACCCTGGGTAAAGTTGGAAAAATCAATTCAAAAACCAATAAGAACTCAGAATTTTATAGCCTGCGTGTATGCTTGCACGCAGGCTAAAGTTTTACAGTTGCAGACAAATTGAGAAGCGGCAACCAACAGGAGCAGGTACAAAACGCAGGTTGCAGGTTCAAATTTCACAGGTTGGAAATTTTGCAGGTTATCAGGAACTTTAGGGAGGGCTTTTTGATCATGCAAATTTAAAATTACACCACTATAAAGTATTCTAGTAATTTAATTGTGTACTTATTGCAGTCTGACTCCTTTGTTAGCGCTTTTGATATCAGCCTATCCTGCTGCCATGTTCCTAGCCTCTGTTCTAAGGAGTGGCCATCACCCCCGTGAAAACATTATATTAATTTATAGGAAATAGAAGTGTATTTTGCAGGTTCAATTCTGCCTTGAAAGCACAGAAACTTCAGAAGTGGGTGCAGAGGAGACACCTCATTCCGCCTAGTGTTGTTTTAGTCGACTAGAACTAAAACTAAAATCCTATTTTAGCCGTACCAAAATAATTTAGTCAACTAAAACTAACTAGAACTAAATAAATGAAAGAGATAAATACTAAAACTAAACCAGAACTAAAGCGATTTAAGAGATAAATACTACTAGAACTATACTAGAACTAAAGCAAAATCAGCAGCAAGTACTAGAACTAAACTTGAACTAAAAGCAAAATTACCATCAACAACTAAAACTAAACGACAGAATTTAATTAGTCAACAGATTGTATGTTTAATTGTTTATGATCTATTTTTTAAAAATATTTTTGGCCTTCGAGGGGACTTTGTACACGATCATGAACTGTCGCGAACTGACCGTAAACTGTCGATTCCGCCTATGATTTTATACTTCCTGTTCCTGGAAAACCGAAACAATTTTTCGAAACCTCGACCCTGGCACAGAGAAGAGATATACAGAGAAGAGATATACAGAGAAGAGATATACAGAGATCAGATATACAGAAAGTAGATCACAGGCATCCACACCGCATAATATTGCATCAATGTTTAACGAGTACTTTCATTCGGTATACACCAGCGTCTTGGAACAACCATCCTCAACTCAACCTAGTTCATCTTCTTCAATATCAAGTATTTCATCAATTGATCTCACCCAAGAAGAAGTGTGCCATGCTCTACAGAACTTAGACCCTTCCAAAGCTCATGGTCCTGACGGGCTTCCTTCACGTATTCTGAAAGAATGTGCTCACCAATTGGCGCCATAACTTCATTACCTTTTTACTAAGTCACTCAAAATATCCCAGGTTCCCGCGGAATGGAAATTAGCGAACATTATTCCAATACACAAGAAAGGTAACAAGGACCACGTTGAAAATTACCGCCCAATCTCCTTGTTATCCATCGTAAGCAAAACTCTTGAACGATGTGTACTCAACCATATATCTCATCATATACAATCTAACATTCATTCAGCGCAGTTTGGTTTCGTAAGCGGTAGGTCGTGTGCAACACAATTGTTATCCATTTTAAACACTATTGGAAAGAACTTGGACAAGGGGTTACAAACTGACGTTGTTTTTATGGACATTGCGAAGGCTTTCGACACTGTTGACCACTCCAACTTGTTGCGAAAACTGGGTGAATTTGGTTTCTCTGGTTCTGTTCTCCTCTGGTTTCAAAATTATTTATCAGGACGCTTCCAGCGGGTAACTGTTCATGGAGCTACATCACAATCCTTGCCTATTACATCTGGCGTTCCACAAGGATCATTATTGAGTCCCTTCCTCTTCTCTATTTACATAAACGACTTACCTAACCACTTATCCTCCTCTACTGGGGTCGGTTTGTTCGCTGATGACACCAAACTCTATAAAGCCGTGCAGAACCCTTCTGATGCCTTGGTTTTACATGCAAGAAGATATACGGAGTCTCCAATCTTGGTCAGAGGAAAACAGGTTGCGTTTTAACAATTCTAAGTGTAAAGTACTCTCTATCACAAGGAAATCATCTCCGCTAATCACTTCATATAGTCTTGACGGTCAACAACTGGCTTTGTCTAACACTGAAATTGATCTAGGCGTCGTTATGAATTCCAACCTATAACCTGGATCAATCAAGTAAACAGGGTGCGATCTAAGGCTAATAAAATGCTTGGATTTATACGACGGACTACAATGGAAATGCATGACATCGGGGCGAGGAAGTACCTTTACTTACAACTGGTCCGCAACAATTTTGCGTATGCGTCTCAAGTATGGTCTCCACAAACAATCAAATTAATCGAGAATATCGAGAAGGTACAGAGAAGGGCGACAAAATACATTTTAAATGTCGGTTTTATCACCAACGTTCCATATACAACAAGACTACTTCAACTCGACTTACTTCCTTTAACTTATTGGCACGAATATTTGGATTTAGTTCTACTCTACAAAATAATCAATGGCTACACATATATCGATGACAGTGCTCGACCAACAATGGCTGGTTCTGGAATAACGAGGAGCGAAACAAAGGAGAACGTATATAAATTTTCAATACCATTTGCCAGTACGGTGACCTTCCAGACTTCTTATTTCATTAGAGCATGTAAAACATGGAACATTTTGGGCTGTGATCTTCGTCACAGAGATATTGGTCTGAATACCTTTAAATCAAAACTTAAGACATATTACGAACACGCGCTATCCAAAATATACAATTGTGACGATCCACGCACATGGAAGTCGATATGTGTTAAATGTAGAAGGGCGAGGTCCCTGGACGGTGTTTTAAGATGTTGCTAGTTGCATGTATGTTATGTTTTGTTGTATGTTATGTTTTGTTAAGCGTAATGTCAGTTGTCTGTTATTAAATTATTCAATACTAATATTAACGTGATTTAGATGTAATTACTAAGGACTCGCCGTAATTGGGGACACTGTGGCGAGTATCCTGGCACTACATTGTTAAAATTTAAATTTAGTAGTTGTCGAACATTATTAAATCATTAAATCAGAGAGGGAAGTCGCGGCAAATTATGTCACGCCGATATATTAAGTCTATTAACTATATAAAATTATATTAATTCATTATTATATTAAATTTTGATAATGCAGAGGAATAAAAGTATACATATTATAGAAGTATTCATGTTTTTTATGCGAGAGTTATATTTTAAGGAATTTATATAATTCGCTGCTTTGTTTTTTATACATGAGCATCTGAAATTCCTAGCCAGTGCTTTTCACGATCCTAATAAGGAATAGATAGGGAAAAAACAAAATAAAATGTTATGCAAAATAAAATGTTATGTTAACACTTTTAATAAAAGGAAATCAATAATTAAAAGTGATCGCTTAGCGTTATTCTACAATAATTTATTGAACAAAATTTTCATGGGTATTTCATTTTTTAAAAAAAAAGTGATTTCCTTTCGAACGGCGTTTTCCCTATCTTTTGCTATGAAATTTCAGCAATGGCACTGGCTGGGAAATTTTGCGTGGAACGCGTGACACAAAAATTGAGGTTATCCAGTGTGAGTTTCCTCTCTGTACATCTCTCCTCTGTGACCCTGGTTTACATTGGGTTATTTATAAATAAAGTTGTCTTAGTTTGTATAGTCCTGCCAGGCTGTCAGTGTATTATTCACTTCAATCACTTGAACAGGTCAATAAAGCAATTTTGAATTCGAAATAAACAATTGCTGATTTTGAATATATAATATTTGGTCTTTCCTGGCCTAGTAGTGGCCTTTACACATTTGAACCACTGAAAACTAAAACTAAATCGTTTGCTTAGCTAGGATCATAGGTAGCCCAACAATCAGTGGTATTAATTCATTTCTGTTCAATAAAATCATATTACTACTCAGTCCCCGACTGCATTGTTTACGCGCGGTCAGATCATGTACGTATATGATTTTATTGAACAGAAATGAATTAATACCACTGATTGTTGGGCTACCTAAGTTAGGACTAAACCCATGTGAAATGAAATTCCTAAAAAATCCTTGTTCAAACTAGAACTAAAGCTAAACTAAAACTGAAAAGAAATTCCTTTTTCAAACTAGAACTACACTAAAAGTCTAAAACTAAACATAAATTACTGCATTAAACTAAAACTGAACTAAAACTAAATTGAA